CTTGAAACCATACAATTTTGCTATTGGACATTTTCTCCAAAATGCATTCTAACTGAAAATATTAGGGGGGTCCGATACTTTTCGATGACCCTGTATGTATTAAAAGTTATGTATACGTGTATATATATATATATACATATTTGCACGTATTCTGCAATAATTTACTTTTCTGTTAATTTTGTAACCAAATTTTTTTTAATAAAACCAATTTTTTACATCTATTTTTATTGAAGGCCACATTACCACCCCTATTTCTTTCAAAATTATTATGCAGTGATGTTACTTTTTTAGAAACAGGGCCCAAAGGAATAAATGTTTCGTAATTTTGAGTTTAAAATCGATTGAATAATCTTTGATGGATATAATCGTTAAATTTTAAATTTAAATATTGATTATTGTTAATTAAACTATTGTATAAAGTATAAATAGGGTGCCATAACACTACCTTCTTCTCTACTTTATTATGCATTTTAGTTGAAGAGAGTGAGATGGAAATTACAGTTTTGATAGAATTTTCCTGCATATAAAAACATTTAATCTAAGACTGTTACATCAAAAATAGAATCATCAATATATTTCACTGACATTACTAACGCACTGATAATAAAAAATCATGTACAGGGTGAGCCATTAGAATCCGGACAAAATTAAATTTGAAATTTTCGCCGTATTAAAATACACCTGTAGCTGCTACTTTGCATTGAAGTATAAGCAGTGAACGCGTAAATAAAATATTTCTAACTTCAAAGATTTGAGGTACATTTAAGAATGTACGACATATACTTCAAATCTTCTTCAACGATCCGATGGACGTCCGAATAGCTCTCTTTCAAAACGACCGCCAATTTCCTAATCGAAGTCCTTGGGGGATTTCCAAAATGAGCACTTGAGCTTTTTGGATGAATTCCAGAATCCTTGTTGTTTTTTCCTTCGCGTGTTTCTTTCTTGCCGGGGAACCTTCCTCTAAAGTCGTACATCTCTTGGCAACATCATAGACTGTTGATTTTGGACATCCGAAAAACATTATTTCTCTTGGCGTCTTTCCGGCGCCCAAACTTTCAGTGATCGCTTCCCTTTGCTTATACTCCATGATATTCATAATCGACTTGACTACTTTGAAGTTAGAAATGTTCCATTCACGCGTCTGCTTACTTCAATGTAAAGTAGCAGCTATAGGTAAATTCTAATATGGCGGAAATTTCAAATTTAATTTTTGTCCGGATTCTAATGGTTTACCCTGTATATTAATATCATGAATGTTTCGATTATACTAATGCATCAAATGTACTATGAGAAGTAGATGACCAGTGGTGGATTCTCAATGTATTATCAGAAGTAGATAACCAGTGGTGCATTCATTATCAAATATATTACTTCAAGTACCAGTGGTGGATTCTTTAGTACTTTATAGCAGAATATAGATGAAATTAGATGCAATTTTATATAGTGCTGTAGAGAGCTGCATTATTTCTATTGGTAGATGTTTATATTTATATATGTCTTAAATAAGTACAGTATATATATTGTATTTAAAAAAGTAAACACAACTTTAACAAGGTTAATCTCAGGGTCATTTCGAAATAAATAATATTTTGAATCCCATGAAGTTGTCTCGTCTCCTTTATTATAATAATCTGCAAACAAAATCACAAACTTATTAATTTTCATAAAATATTATACTGCAACATATTACATTTTTGTTTCGCCACGATCGAGCGAAATAATTTTTGCTCGATCGTGGCGAAATATAAATAATATGTTGCAATATAATATTTTAAGATATCATAATAATAAGGCTCAATAAATTTAAAAAAGAACAGAACAAAAAAGGGCTATGAGCCCAAAATTTAGTCGTTATAAAATTGAAATTATTAAGAAGTCACAGAATAAAAACATGTTATTTCGTTATAATATAAACTTCAATTTGCCGGCAATAAACAATAAAACATAAACAAAACAAAAACAGACGTTTCGATCCCTGTTGGATCAATATCAATGTTATAATATAAAAGTAAAACGGTGAAAATATTTAAAAAATTAGAATATAAAAATTATAATTCATTCTCAATCGCAAAACTTGTAAGACTCACAGTATTAATGTAATAAAAAAACACGCTCAGTGTAACATGAAGCTTGTATAATGGTTGTAATCAGTAAAAATGTGAACTTCTGGACATAGTATGCGGATTAAAACGAAATTGTATCTTATAGAACATATGCCAATATAATATAAAAATATCAAATTATCTCTGAACAGAGACATTGTCTCTGAACACACTAGAGAGATGACCATTCCACTCTTATCGCATTGTCTGATAATTTGATATTTTTATATTATATTGGCATATATTCTATAAGATACAATTTCGTTCTAATCCGCATACTATGTCCAGAAGTTCACATTTTTACTGACTACAACCATTGTACAAGCTTCATGTTACACTGAACATGTTTTTTTATTACATTAATACTGTGAGTCTTACAAGTTTTGCGATTGAGAGTGAATTATAATTTTTATATTCTAATTTTTTAAATATTTTCACCGTTTTACTTTTATATTATAACATTGATAGTGATCCAACAGGGATCGAAACGTCTGTTTTTGTTTTGTTTATGTTTTATTGTTTATTGCCGGCAAATTGAAGTTTATATTATAACGAAATAACATGTTTTTATTCTGTGACTTCTTAATAATTTCAATTTTATAACGACTAAATTTTAGGCTCGTAGCCCCTTTTTCGTTCTGTTTTTTTTTAATATTTTAAGAGATATCGAAACAGCGAAGATTATCTACTGGAAGTTTGCGGAAAACCACTATATACACACTAAATTAGCTAGGTTTTTTCTGGATATACTTACAATGCATTATGTTGCAGCTTCGAGGAGGGAAAATCGGACAAGGAGATTCTGGACAACCTATTACAATCGACTCGTTACGACAAGCGGCTTCTGCCGCCGGTCCAAGGTACAAAGAGGCTCCCATTCCACTGCCAAAGTCAAGGCAACTAAACTTTCACCTTTATATCCAAATGACCCTCGATCATCCAGAGCACCTCAAACATCACCGGCATACCAAGAGCACCGCTACCACTTCACAGCACCATATTACCACAGCTCACTGCTCACTCCTCGTCGTAAGAGTACTTCTTGTAAATCGATGTATTTTAAAAAATGACGTGAGAAAAGTGCGCAAACAAATAGAAAAAAAAAGATAGGATGCGTAATAAATTGTAAGAAGACAAGGCACAACGAATAATTCAACATCGCTTTTTTTCTATTCAAATTGTGGTTAAATTCTCCCATACTTGCGAAGAAAAAAACATTTTTATTTAGGTGTACTGATTTAAAAATGTCTTTTTATCAATTTTAAAAAGATTCGAACTTAAAGGAAATTATGTTCAAAATACCTCTTAATTTATATTAATGTAAACTTATAAAATTAAAATCAAATTAGATTCGAAGTACATTAAATAATATTTATTATAAAGTCGGAATATTATTAACGGTTCCAACGATAATGATGGGTATATCATAAACATGACGAATTGTAACAATATTTGTACATATATATGCAAATGTGGTCCGTACATTAGAGTCCGACCGAAATCACAATTTGACCTCCGATCAAAACCAAAAACGAACATTCAGTTGTCATTTCAATTTTGACCGAAAACGAAACCGAAACTTAGATAAATCTTAGGGGGGGGGGAGGGGGG